CAGAAATTTCCAAAAAAAGGGAGAGGATAGTGCACACCAAAACACTGCAGCCCTCTTCTGTGCAATCACTGATGTGGGAACTTAAATGATGTACAGGAATAAATAATTGAAGAATTACTGAGATTTCTTGTGCGTTCCCCTTTCTGTCACATTAACTTGTAATCAAACAAATACTTATGAGGAAAACCCCCTGATGTGCTTAAATACAAAATACAGCTTTAAACGATTTTATCTTTAGAGAAATTTTACCAAAACAATTTGACCTCATGTGAAAATATAAATAATATCCCATGATTTAAAGTAACATGGTGCATTTTTAGCCGTACCCTCCACGTTTAGCTCACCTGAAGGCTGGTGGCAGCCAGATCTGTTCCCGACCCATTCAGTAAACAGTCTGACTCTCTCAAGTTTCTCAGGTTTTTTTTTTTTTTTTGGAAGAGCATCCCTCATGGTGCATTTATATGCACTACACGATTTATACATTTTTTTCCAATATGTCTTAAATTAAACTAATGGTTGGATCAAACATTACACAGTTTTCAACCCGCTTGGCGCATTATTTACATCCCTTTGGCTCAGTTTCACTAGACTCACCTTGGCCTGATTATTGCCACACCTGCAGAATCACAGAATCCCTCGAAAATAGATGATAGAAGATGCAGTTTATAAAACATCAAAAAGCCACAACTCATGTTAGGATTTGAAGAAATGCAAAAAACAGATGATAAACAAGGTTATAAACATATATCAGTTTGGTTAGGGTTAGAAAGACATTTTTAGGCTTTGGAATACCAGTGAATCTCACTTAGACCCATTATCTAAAAGTAATAAAGTTATTATTAAAGTTTGTCAGATTCTGATATCTGTAAACTGACATTAAATGATCTGATTCTTCTCAGTAGCATTAAAGGGACAGTGTGTAACAAATCTGGCTTCTTTATTAGCAAGCTTTAATAAATATATATTCTTTGAAAGTCTAATCCCATGATATAAGAAACGAGAGCATTCACATAGACTAGAAGTATTAGTTCATAAGTACATAAGTGGTGGTGCACCCAATGAGAGGTTCTGTGTTGTGTCTGCATTTTTGATTAGAAAGCTGGAAAGAGGAGAAACTTGTTAGTTTGATTCGTGTTATTTGTATCTGGAAATGTGTTATCGGAGTCCGAAGAGTTAAATTCAAGCAAAAACAACTGTAGATCGTTCTATCTTCCACTGTGTGTCGCTATGGAGGAACATCAGTGCTTAATGTTGAGTGAAAGGCAAAAGAAAGAATAAAAAAAAACAAAAAAAAAAACACATATAGCTAGGGGGAAAAAAGAATTTTTTACCAGTTAGAGACCATTTATAAGGGAGTGGATTTCAAAACGGACATTGAGGTTGCAGACATTCTGCAGTCTGCGTTCTACAGTAATTCAATATAACAGGGACAGCTAATTTGTCAGCCCACCCAGAATAAGCTCAGATGCAACAGTTATTAGCTGCTGTTAATAGATGTCACTTAGTAGGTCTCACACGCTTAAAGAGAAGACGCAAGTCTCTCATGTGTAATTCATTTTGTGCACCACTAGATGGCGATACATCCTTAACTCTGTCCCTTTAATGACAGTGAAAGCAGTCTGGAAATTTAAAGGAAAAGTCCAAATACAGACTTCTGAAAGAACTTTAAGTAAGAAATTATTACATACTTTTATAATTTCATTTGGTTGACCATGTTGTTAAAGAACACTACTGCCACCTACTGGTTTGTGACGTCACGGTGCGGTATCGGCTGTTGATCAAGTCCCAGTGCTGTATCTGGTGTTTGTCACAACGCGCTATTATCCAAGTCATCTGGAAAACCTTCTTCTTCCAAATGTTGGCTACATATTACGGGTTTTTTCTCTGGCCAGAAGTTCGATGGCAAATCCTCCCTCTTCAAGTTGGCGATCCAACGACCAACCCGTCCGTGGAGGATCAGGAATCAGAAAGGTGGAATAACTCTTTTTTTTCACTTTTACCCGATGTATTCCAGCATCCAGCTGCCATGCACGTGGGCATTGTCAGTTTCACTATAGCTCTGGTGAATTTCAATGGTGAAGTCCTCTGGAAATCTTCAATAATTGTTGTTGATTGCAGATGTGTCTCAGCCTAGTAAAATAGCCCCTCCCGCCAGCGGTCAAAATTATTTTTGCCTGCGAGTTGGTCCAGCTTCCATCAATACCCCAGGCCCTAAATCTGACGGGCCAATCACAACGCAGGGATGCGTTTTGAACTTCTGGATGCAAAGTGGGCGGGGTTTTGAGAGTGTGACGAAAAAGCTGCAGGACGTTGGAGAAAGCACAACAGTAACATGCACTGCAGCAGCAGCAGCAATCAGTGGACCGCTCCACTGAAGGTTAAAAGTTCTCTTTCTGTTGCTGTTGTTCAATATAAGTATGTTTTAATATATTACTACTTTAAAGCGTCACTATATGGTCCATTTACAGATTTAATACGTAATTAAAAATAAATATTTCTCAAGTTGAGAGGACTGCGGCAACCAGTGGAGTTCCAAGGCTAACTGCAGTCAGGGCTAACCGCAGCCCGTCTGCAGCGGCCCTCTCTCGGCATAGTCTGGTGTGAAGGACTGATGGCGATTTTTGACTCAGCTTTGAAGGGATTAGACTTTGTGTTTTCGTTGAAACGTGAGCAGGAAGAGGCTCTACCCTTATCTATTTTTTAGAAGGACGTATTCTCCATTTTACCGACAGGCTGTTTGTTCACACTCCCCCACCAGCTTTCTGTTGCGCTTCCTACGTCACAGTCAGTTGCTCTCATTGGGTACGTTCTGTGAAAATGACATTGAAACTACGCACCATGTTTTCTTCTCATGTTCAGTGGTGCAAACATTTTGGAGTGATTTGCATAGGTGGATTAAACAACAACAATTTTCATTCCCAACCGTTATCTCCAGGGACTTTTCACTTTTGGTCTAATATTACAAAGTAAAACTGATGAGCTCTGTATTAATACGATTGTATGTCTAGCTAAATTTTTCATTCATAAAGGTAGAATTGTTTTTTTTAAAAGAGTTTAAGCTATATATAAAATCATTAAAGATTCTGAAAGGTCCTAAAGCACAAAAAATATATGCTACCCTAAAACGCTTCCCTACAGAAGTAAACAGCTAAAACAGAGACTGAATTCTCCCCTCATGTTATACTTTCTTATTTTCTTTTATTTATATTATTGTTTTTATTTTAAAATTATCTTTATAAATTTCTATTTTGTTTATTTATTGGGTTTTATGTCTTTGATGCTTATGTTAACAGTCCTCTATAGCAAGTCTATGTTATAGATATATTTCAATCTGTGTGAAGAGATGCTCCCCTGGCTAGATTTTCTATGTAACCTGATTTGAAGAAACGAACTCTATGCAGCCAAGTTTGTCTGTAAATTTTGAAGTTTTCGATTAAAAAAAAAAATTTAAAAAAAAAGTTGCTCTCATTGGTCAGAGCGTTGGCCAATAGGCACACACATGGTTTGGAAAATAACGGGTTGTTCTCATCAACAATCTCCCATTTAGTCTGGTTTACCAGGCTAGATGTGTTAGTAGTTCCCACTTTTCTGCACTTGTAAAGCGGGCAGAATGGCGCTAGGCTTACCGCACCGTGACGTCACTGCCGGAAGATGTCAGGAGGGAGGTGTTACTAAATTTGGGCAAAAATGGCCGCTCCCAGACTCTGTATTAGTGGCGAAAATTATTGTTTTTATTTTTCTACTGATTAATGCTAAATTCATTAAATCAAGGCGAATGTATTAGTTTTAGGTATAAATAATTTTATTTATTTATTTATTTTATTTATGTGTTTATTTGAACAGGGACAGTGCACATTAATAAACATTTCTGTAAATGAGCCAGTGTTAGCTAACTAGCTAATTTTCAACTGTAGTCCCTGGGCAAGGTTTAAAATGCCAACATAATAAAAACAACAACATTAAAAATTAGTGCAAACAATAAAATACATAGGTAGTAATCTACATAAAAGTTGGACATTGATCTGTAAAAAACAAAGACGTTATTATAAATATAACATTTAAAAAGCATTGATAAAAGTGCATCAGAGAGGCAGACAGAAGTTATTGATTACAGGTTTGATTCTCCTGTAACCATGCTTTTAACATGTTTTTGAAAGTTCTGTATGTGTCTGCATTGCGTATATGAGTTGGAATGGTGTTCCAGGACTGAGCTGCTCGCACTGAGAAGGCTGACTGACCAAATGAGCTTTTTCTCAGTGGGACTGTAAGGTTATTAGAAGAGACAGATCTGGTGAGTCTGCTACCTTGTGTGAAAAAAGCAGTAAGTGGTGGTGGAGCAAAGCCATGTAAAATTTTAAAGACCAGATTTGCATCATGAAATGTAACAAAATTTTCCCAGTTTAACAGGACATGTTTGTCCAGTATACTACAATGATGAAAACGAAAGGGTTTCCTGTCCAAAACCTTTAGAGCCTGCTTGTAGACAGACTGGATTGGTTTTAATGTTGTTTTACAGCCCTGTGACCAGCTGCTAAGACAGTATGTTAAATGAGGCATAATCATTGCGTTAAAAAACAATTTTGCTGCATCTGTGTTCAGATTATTTCTTATGTATCTGAAGTTTACAAGGTTGAGTTTGACTGTTTGAGTGACTTTCTTTACATGTTTTTTAAATGTGAAACTTGAATCCAGAATGAGTCCAAGATATTTATACTCTGACACTACTGTGATGGACTGGCCTGCAACAAACACATCTGGGTCTGAGCAGTTTGATACTCTTTTTGTATATAATGACTCATTGTTTATTCCGTGCTGACCGGACTTTTCCTTTAACAACTGGAATATGCAGAAACTCTTTGTCTGCAACTTGCCTCAGTCTTATCTTACTGGGGGAAAAACAATAAGCTCTTTGGGAAACAGATAAATTTTCTCTGAAAAACACAACATGCATATCAAGTTTTGGTTTGAAGATATCTCAAAAGGACAAAGCATCGGCGTACCCAGTAAGCTTGTTCCGGCCCGAGGCTGGTCTGGAGAACAGCGTCCCGTCTTGCTCTTAAAGGAGGTGAATAGATGCTGACACAGCTCCTCTGGAATATCATTTTCCAGGTAGGTGGCCATAAAGAGCTGGAAGCCCTCATAGTCAATCGGCTGATGGAGAAAAACAGAAAGGAGGAGATGTTAACAGAATCCTTGAGGTGATTTCATGAAAGAAGCTCACAGCGACACACAGGAGCATGTGGTGTAGGTAACTCTTCAAGTTGGTCGTCCAGTTACTACTTTCAACTCCTTAATGAACTTAAAAGTATAATTTAGGATTATTAGTGTGGCAAAGAAAATGACAGAAAACAGAGATGGCGAAATATGTAATTACAGTTAAAGTGAACAACCCCCCCCCTCGGAACAGATGGACGGTAGCACTGAACAAAAAAAAAAATGTCTTCATGTACAGTGGCCTACTCCCCTGTGACAGAGGCTGCACCATCTGTGACGGAGAAGACAGGGCGATGTCATGTTAGTGGACAGAATGTGCATGCAGTCACCACAGATCATGCAGAGAGTGCTGGGCTGAGGCTTACTTGGTTCAGAACATCTTGCATCTTTATAACAGTGAAGACAGGCAGAAGAAAGGGAAGGGGAGGAGAAGAGGGGTGCAGAACAAGAGAAGGGCGTTAGCTACTTCGTGTGTGGTGACATTTGGAGTGGAGATAAGTGTGGTGCTGACCGTGCCGAAAAGGGCATCACACATTACACTTAGAGACAGCGCACTTATGTGTCACTTCATTTTCTTTGGAATGAGGGGTTACTCAAACGAACAACAAGAAAAAGCTTCTGTATTTCAATTAAAGGTGTAAAGTTATGGAACAACTTAAATGAAGATTTAAAACAAAGCAATAGTTTAATACAATTCAAAAGAAAATATAAGGAGGTCATTTTCAATAGAGATAGACATATGAGTGAGAGAAAGCAAAAATGTGTGTATTAAAGATAACTTGGTGTAAGGGTTTAGAAAGACAAACCAGCATAAAAAGGGAAATGTTTAGGTAAATACTTTCACTTGACTTTGATTTTTTTAATAACAGTAGGACTGGAAGTTTTTCAAGTGTTTAGGGGGTAGGAGTTAATAAGTTTTCACTTCTTCCTACCCCATTTTGAGCATGATATGTTAACTGAAACAAATATCTGTATTTTTCTCTTCTTTTTTATGCGCTTCTTGTTACTGTGCACTATTTTATTTTTATATTTGTATCATGTTCGAATAAATTTCAATCAATAAAAATTTCAATCAATAATGACAACTTTTTAGGGAAACAAACATGGCTAATTCTTTCCTCTGTTTAGTTTTTGGAGACTGTGACAACTGAAAACGTATAGAAACATTTAGAGATATTGCAGGAAAAACAAGTGTAGGAAAATAGGGAGCGATGATAATCAAGCAAAGGAGGATATGGCAGCTTATATAATGAAGCTTATGCCTGGTGAGGATGTAGCTGAGGGAGAAGGAGAGCAATCAGGCTGACCAGCTAACATGATCAGAGCTGAAAAGAGAAATCAAACTAAAGGAACCGTTTGAAAACAGGTGTAATTTCAAATGTACCAAGAAAAGAACACAAAAAAGGACCATGGAGGAGCATACAAATGGTCAGATAAGGCAATGGAGATATGATGGCACATTTTCTTTTACATTACATCAATAACCATGTAATAACATAGCAAGTTACACTACATTACCAAGTAACAAGAAAAACTTTCTGGAGAATTTTTGGTAAGTGATGTGCTTCAAATTTCAGGAAGACGAGCTAAAGTGTGACCTCTTAAATTTCAAACAGCTATTACCAGGGAACTGATTCATTTCACCGATAGCAATTAATTAATGTTATCTAGAAAAATGCAGTTTTTTACTTGGCATATAACAGAAAACCTACACTAGAAAAAATCAAAATCTAGCCGAGTCATTTTTTTCTTAAAATAAGTGCATTTGCTCTTGGATTAAGGTAGTAAAAGAGACATCTTGCCAATCGAACAAGGCAATTTACAGTTAGAATAAGAAAACAGAATAGCATTGTTTAATTTCAAGTGCACATTATCTAATTATCTTATTTATCAGAGTAAAAATATTAATTTCATTGGCAAACTATCTCATTTACCTACTCAAATTAAGGGGAAATACACGTAATTCAAGACATTTTTACTTATTTCTAGATCTTTTTTCCAGTGTAGAAGACGGCAGGCCAATCTTCTTTACTAAACTCTTATTTATATGTAACTTGAGTTCAGTTTTATAATGCTTTAGTTACTTGATCACAAGTTACAATTTACTTTGTAATACAAATTGTTATATAGTAACCTAATGGCAGGGGTGTCAAAAGTTCACACATTTGTTACTTAAGAAGTATAGATACTGCAGTTTAAAAACACTCTGATAAAGTATCAAAGTATGAACTCTTTACTCAAGTAAAAGTGAAAAAGTATGTTCTCCAAAAACTACTTAAAGTATAAAAGTATAAAGTAACCTTTAAAAAAAAAAAACACCCAGATGCCACTATATGAATTGAAAGCTCAATTTTTCGACAATTTTTAAAAATTCTCTGAGATAGGGCCAAGGATGAGAGAGGTCTTGTTGGTCTCCGTCTCCCGATACGCTCTCGCCTGTGTCCGACCTTTCAGACATTTCAGCATCTTTTTCTGAATCCCACATTGTAGCATGGCATAGACAATTCACGTTAGCAGTTTGAAGAACACCTGCTTGCTTCTGATGATTTCCTTTAGCTAACCAATGAGTGTTTGCGTTCTATGACTCATCCAATCACACTAGTTTTCACTAGATGTGGGTGGAGCCAATGATCTGCATTGGATGGAGCACATGACGGGAAATAAAGATTTAGAAACATTAAACCGAAGCCAAGAGTAACGACTAACGTTTGTTTTAGAAATGTAAGGAAAAGAAAGTACAGATACTGGTGTGAAAATGCAACGAGTAGAAGTCAGAAGAAGGAGGAAAAATAAGTAATGAAGTATAGATACCTAAAAAGTGTACTTAAGTACAGTAACAAAGTATTTGTACTTAGTTACTTGACACCTCTGCCTAATGGTAATTACCCACCAAAACTCTCCACTGTTACATAGTAACATACAATTGTAATAATTACATACAGTTAATTACTTTGAAATTATATATACGGTGGCCCTGAAGTGCAAACTGCAGCTATCTAAAAGCGCAACTACATTAAGTAAAACAAAACTACATAAAACAAAGCGCTTTGCTTTATGTAGTTGCGATTTCCTTAATGTAGTTGCGCTTTTAGATTTGTAGCTGCAGTTTGCACTTCAGGGCCACCGTATATATACCTTAATTTTGGGGTAATTACCAAATAAATGTTTTCTTGTTACCAAGAAATATAGTGTGACTTGTTATGTTATAAACATGTTATTACATAGTTATGTGTAGAAAGCGTTGCCAATATAATGATAACGGGCACAGAAAAACAACAAAAATGAAAAATAGGAAACAAATCAGAATTTTATGGTCTGAAACCATTAGAACTCTAATCAGAATCAGAATCAAATTATTGCCAAGTAGGTTTGCACTTACAAGGAATTTGACTTAGTGTTGTTGGTGCAGACAAAAAATAAAATAAATAAAAAAAAAAAAAAAAAAAAAATAAAATAAAAAAAAATAAAATAATTAGTGTGTTAAAGAAGGCTGTGCACCATAAGACTTGAGGTTGGATCAAACTGAGGCATACCATATTACTCAGTGGAGCTATGCAATGTGCCTTCACTGGTAAAGACGGTCATTATGACGGTCTAATGACGGTCATAAAGACGACTTTCATATGCTGCTACCATGACGATGATCTAATTCTAGTTCCCGCAGTCTTCTTGTTAATAAAATTCCTAAAACTAAAGATTCCCCCTAAGCAACACACCTTATTAAAGTAGAGGTTACAAATGTTAGGTCTACAACTCCTGAATATAGCCCCGCCCCCCCCCCCCCCCCCCCCCCCCCCCCCAAAACACCAGACGTCATATAAATGTTTATTTTTTGGCTAAATCTGGTCCGTCCATCATAGTCTAGATATAGTCCAAAAAATAAATGTTTAAAATTGGGCTGTGTTTGGTCGGTCTTATTTTTGTCCATCTTTAGTCCAATAATAGACCATTTGAAAATAAGTTGCAAGCCCAGTTTTTAGCGTCCTTTCAGGCTGAAACAAAGTTTCTTCCCCACTGCCATTAGACTGCTGAATGTTGTGTAAAATGGGTTATTTTATTTATAAAAAACAAAAAACACAAAATTAATGTTAGAACTGTAAATATAGTCAGTTGTTTATATTGCTATTTTTTTATGCATTTGTTAATGTTTTCAAGGCTGCACTTTAAAAAATGAAATTGTCTAGAGCTGTTTTAAACAAAATGTCTTTTTCTTTACACTCATGTATACAAAATGACAAAAAAATCTGTCTAAGTCTAAAGGCTGATTTATACTTCGAAACTAGGTCGTCTGCGTAGGTGTCACAGTGAACAAAAAGACGTCCCCTCCCCCACCACCGCAGACAGGAGGCTGGCTTGTTTTGTTTTTACGACCGAAATTGCGGAAAACGACTCGTGAAGTTGGACCCGCTAGAAGAGCGAGGTGTGCGAGAACGCTGGGACCCTTTTTCTACCTGGATCCTCGCTCTTTTTCGCCCTCATGTCCTTCTGTTGTCGGACAAAACTCGCCCCCACTCCCTCACCTCCTCGGCCATATCTAGACCCACAGCGTGTAGCACAGACCACGCTTCAATACTTAGCAGAAATCAAAAATGTCTGCATCAAGCTCACTGCGACACACTGCTGCAAGACGATAACCAGCCCTTAGGTCTAAGTCTAGTAATGGTGTGTAGTTAGTTTCTATTAGGGGTGGAACGGTTCACAAAATCCATGGTTCGGTTCGGTTCACGGTTTCGTGGTCATGGTTTTCGGTTCGGTATATGTTTATTGTTACACCGAAAAATAAAAAAAATTATAAAAATTAATGAAAAACTTTTTTAAATGAAATTAATTTAAAAAATCCAAAAAAAATTAATGAATTGTAATTATTTTCAATGATTCGCGGAAACTCTGGATCATTTCCGCATTTTTTGCTGCTTTGAATTTAATCATCTGGCGCATGCCCTCTACGATCTCCAAGGGACTCAGAGCAGAGCGGACGAGAGCCACAGCGGAGGCTGTAGGCTTTGCTTTGAGCAGCCGGTCTGGAGCGCAGCGGAGCGGAGCGCTGACGGAGTATGTGGGATTTCAGGGTTAGCATGACATGTTGGTCATGTTGCTGTTAGCATAAACAAAACGTGTTGCACAATGCTTGCACACTGTTGCACTTTTATCCACAGCTTTCTTTCCGCCGTCATCGTAGGTCACTCTAAATGCAAAGCGGTCCCATACAGCAGACCTATAAAGTGCTGCTGGCGCGTCTTCCAACTCCTGTTCTTTCCCACTCGCCATACCCACACAATTCTCCACAACAACTGATTTTTTTCTGCTACACCCGGCTACGCTGCTTCGCTTCTTCTTCTTCTTGTTTACTACTGGTGGTTGGCTTTGGTCGCAGTACCGCCACCAT